GCAACCGTACATTGGCTAAATAATACGTTATACCTGTCAGAATTGAAAAGTCACTGTTTTTCCAATCTGCCTAACTTCGCGGCCATCGAACTATTGAAAACTTTTCACGGATGAGTACTATCAATCCAGGTATTTTCCACGGACGGGCACTATCCATCCGGGTATTTTCCGCGGGCGGGCACTATGGGCTGATAGTATCTCTCCACGGATGAACACTATCGCATCACGTGATCAGTTTAAACCAATAAGAACCAGAGAAAATTTAGTGGTGAACCATAAGTTATGGTAGTACCAGTGTGTACTTGGAGAAAAATTTGATAGACTGTAGAATAAATATCAAGGATATACATTTTTCCCTGACCAAGTTGAGTCTTTTTTTTTTTTTTATTATAATTCCTGCAGGTATATATTGTTGCCATGAAACAACAGGACAGCCCATCACCGGTGAATGCTGGAGATGATGAGTTTTCTGAACCAGTTGGGAGCCTCTTGGGGCTGGTGGAACCTGAGTTGAAATCTCTCAGTAAGTACTGGCTGGGTGCACTGAGAGATCATGCACTTCTTTCTCTTCCTGCAGAATATGCATCTCAGTTGCCTCCTCAGGGTGGAATGTTCTACAGGTTCGTAATTCTTTTACTCTGGCGGTTTTACTTTAAAAACAAATTTTAGGTCAATAATTATGTTATCCATACTTTCTCAAAGATTGGCTCCTTGAATCATTTTCTTTGTTGTCAACATGCTTTGTTTGCAGTCCTGACTCAATGGAGCAAGCCAGGCCACATTACCAAAGTTGTTGGCCCTCTATTGTTCATGCAGCCTCTTTGTGGCTAAACAATGGTGGATTTGAAAGCACTAAACATGATATGGAACAAGGTAAGTGTAGCATGACTAACTTAACAGCGCAGGCAACCAGTTATTTTTTTCGGTGTTAATTAATCAATATTTAATTCCCTCTTATCCAGGTATAGATACTCTATTAGACCCCTTGAAAGAAAAAAAAAAAACTGGTTCCCTGTGGTGCCAAGTTGTAATGCTACAGACTGTATTGTAAATCCATTAAACACCAAATAAAAACATTTTTGGGTTTTGTGATTTCAGGAATACCAAATGAGCCCAGAAACGCAAGCGCTATCAATATGGTCACAACTGCCAAGACACCAACAGACATCAACACAGATTACTTTCATTTACTGGTTGGAATTTGCATGGAATCTTTGTGTTCATCCAGAGCAACCCAACCCAACAGCACAGTGTCTGCTTGTCTAAATGCATTCTACAGCTTACTGGATTCTCAGTGGCCACGCACCCTAATAGGAAATGAACAGGTTATTTGACATCCTGAGCCTATATCTTCGACATGTCAGAGAGAAACACAGTACTCCATAATACTGTGTGGAGTTTTTCAAGGCATTGTTTCAGAAAATATCCCTAGTACCCTTCCCCTTAGGAGGTTTTCTCATTTGACTTTACTCTTCCAACCCTGAGTAAATTCTGTTCACGTTCATTCCCCAGCTTCACAGCCCTCCCCCCCAGTCCCTCCTGCTTTGAAATTTGCAGATGCTAGGATTTCTGAAACATCATAATAGGGACCTTAAGCAGTCAGGACGGCAACGCCAAGGAAGACTTCAATTAAAAAATGAATTTCTACTCTTAGTTAAAATTTCAAAAATGGCTACCTGAGCTTACTGTCTCATACGGTGCCACAGCTCAACTTCAGCATGACATATAAAAGTGAGTTCCAATTGGAAATTAAAATAATTTGCTGTCACGGTTTCGGTTCGCAGACAACGCAAATTTTGGCGATTTCATGTTGTTGTTCTGCATAGGACGGCTAAGAAATGTACAAAGTTTCAAAATGCATGTGCTGAGCTATTGTTCTGCTAATTAGATCTCTTGCTTTTCCACGACCTTGTTGCCGTCGCCATCGTGGTTGCTTAAGGTCCCTATAGATTTAAAACCTTGATTCTAGAATTTTGTTTTGTCTAGTGCCATTTCAAATTATTTCTAAACTCACAATATATTTGAATTGGATGATAGTATGAATTTGTTTTTCTTATCTTTTTTATTCTCCCCACTTGGTCCAAGTATATTTTAAATAATTGAAATAAATCTTCATTTTCTTCTTCAGATCCTTGGTGTTGAAATGTTAAGTGTATTACACAGAGTACTGCTAACAAGGGACTCACTTGATATCCACTTGGCTGCTGTGAGAGTTGCAAGACAGATTGTCAAAGCTGCTCAAGAATCATTAGATGGGAAAAAAGCTGCAACTGCAGCGTAAGATTAATTGGATTGGTTACCTTTCAACCAATATGCTAATAAAATCATTTTAGTTAAAATATTTTTTAACAGTTCATTTTATTGCTTGTGATACAGAGGGTGTAATTTGCAGGTTGCAGGTCGCAGGTTGCAGGTTGCAGGTTGCAGGTTAAAGTACGCGGCTAGTGATTTACTGTTTACAGAAACTGGAAATATCTTTAGTCTCAGGAAATTTTTTTTTTTTATTTGTAACCGAAGCCCTATAGATCAAAATTTCACAACTTCACGTTTTTAAAGCAAAAAAAGGTGATGGTAGGCCTTCACAACTTTTACCTCATAGCAAAATGCTGCTCCTTTTTATAAAGTATTCTAATTGCCTCTGTTAGGTAGATTATGCTCGGGAAGGTAGCATTTTTACTGAGCTAATGTAATTTTAGCTGCTTATGTCACATTGAGAGGTAATTGGACACAGATTGATTTAATGTGGTTTTTGTTGATTTCCTCTCTGATGCAATAGCGTTTTCTTAGACCTCCTTTGAAGCGTAAGGCTTTTTATTATGACTGAATAAGGGTCGAACTTTTCTCCAAATTGTATTCTGGATGTTAATTACTAGGCGATCTTCTTTAGTCCATGAATGTAGAGTTCTAATGCTGGGCCCAGTTTGTTAGTTTTCTTTGCAGAATGTTATTTATATTAGCACATGGAAGGTAGATCATTAACCACCGGAAATTTTGACATCTGGTTTCTTTTGCCATTTGTTGTCATTTTTAAAAGTGTGAAGCTATGAGATTTTGATCTATAGGGCTTCGGATGCAAATTCTAACTCCCAAAAAAACAATTTCCTGGGACTAAAGATATTTCCGGTTTGTATAAACTGTAAAGACAGTATAAACCACTTAAGGGTTAACCGCGTACTAGACTGCAAAACAGTTGGTGATTTTCTGAAAATCAGTCTTGCTCTCCGCACCTAATATGCAAAAATACTGTTTCTCGTACTTCAACCTGCGACCTGCAACCTGCAAATTACACCCTCCACTTGTGATACATTTTCGTAGCGAGTCACTTTCACATTTGTAAAGCAAAGGTTACATTTTTGATCTGTTACAATTTGCAACATACAAAATGTGATGTAATGTCAGTAAATCAAGTACTAAAGGATGAGTTTTCAAAGAGCCATCCATACCACAGAGAGAAAAAATCACCAACTGTACTGTCCACTGGTTTTTCAGTTTCGGAGAGAATAACTTTACTTTAGGGTATTAATCATAACAGATCTCATTTTTAACATTAAAACATTGAGATTTGAAGTATATTTATTTAGTAAACAGAAATGGGTATTTAATGTTGCCACTGGTTTTGTCTCTTCTCAGTTCTGAGAGCAGCTCAAGTATTAATGAAGAAGGAGAAGATGACTTAACACCAGGAAGATCCTTAGTGTTTGGTGTAATGGAGATTAGTATGTGCATCCTCACAAAACAGCTTCCAAACCTTCTCCCTTCATCTGCTGCATCCAGCCAGCAGCCAGTCATGCTTGTGTCTATTGGATCAGGGTTTAGATGTGAGTCTTCTTAATGAAAGTTTTGATATTCACAATTGATATGGATTTTGACAGACCTGGACAGAGAAAGATCTGAGTTCTTAAGCTGTGGAACTAACAGCAAGTTGGGTCATAGTCTAAATTAAATTATGTTAAGAGATTTACCCCTTTTTCTTATAATTCCACTCTTGTATGGGCAGGAGACTGTAGGCAGTGTATATCTGTGATTACTATATGAAGGAGATTCATATTTATAAAATTAATATACAATGGTCTACGAATACAAAGTAGATGAATCATGTATTGCTTTGCTTTCAGCATTGACAGAGGAGAGCTCCAAACTCGTATCTGAAGTGCTATCAATCCTGCCATTTGTCCCTGGGCTGTGTACACCAGAGGCTTCTGTTAATGATCTACCAAGTGTACTTTACCTTCTCACCTGTGCCCTGCGTGAGGTGGCTTCAATTCAAGACTCCACCTCACAGAAAACAGTTTCTGCTGCATTACAGTCTTTAAAACTGCTTACCACATCTCCATTTACACAGAACCCCAAATGTTCCAAGGACTGGATTGACTTGCTGCAAAGGTTTAAATTATTTATATGTAGACTTGAAAAAGGACAGATCATAATTTTCTTCTCTTAAGCCAACAGTTTAAAGTTTTGTATGTGTTATTTTGCTGCATTTCAATGTAAACCCCATTTTTTTACAAAACAGGGCCACATATCTCTTTTGTGGTAACCCTTTAAGTCCCAAGATTCAATTAGTATTTCTCCCTTTTGACTTCCATTCAGTTCTTTGTGGGTTAGACAGGAGAATTTGGTGTAATATCAAGATAACACCTTTAAGTTGATAAGCTCATTTACTCTCATTACCTGTTTGCAAGTTAGATAACATTCGAATTGCAAGAGGAAGTTTCATACAAATCACTTCCGAGGTTAAAGGGTTAAGTGAATATATGCATTTTTACCAACAGGTAACTTGAGAGAACAAATTTGATAAGGGAAACAAAATCTGTCAGCCGTCTCTCTCCCAAGATCTTCTCAGCAATTCTCCTCGCTGTCTGCCATATAATTCTTGTGATGTTACTTGGGAGAATTTTGAATTGAATCAAATAATAATCCCTTAGTTGAGATTTCTTTTATTCTCATCACTTGTCTCCTTGATATTGTTTTGATATTGTAAGGAGAAATTCTGTCTAGGTCACTCGTGGAGTTAAAGGGTTAGTAGAATCTTCAATAGCCTGGGTGATGGTATACAATTGTATCATTAATGACATATGAATGTGCATTATTATTACTCACATTTTTTTCCGTTTTCTACCATTATGATCATAGTGCTTTAGCCACTGTTCTGTCAGATGCCAAAGCTAAAGAAGAATTTGCAGCTTTTGGTGCAGTATCTGAATCACCTGTTATGGATGACTCAGTTGTTATGCTTGCATTAGCCATCTTCATTCTCTCTGCACCAAAAGAAGTAGTGTTGGCATCAGACCTACAGCAACAGTGCATTAAACTTTTTACCAGGTGTCTTAAATCAACAATGCAGGTTTGTTCAGATTCTAATGGTTTAAAATTTATGTCATGGATTTGCCATGTGCTCCTGCATCATCATTATCAACATCATCTTTATTAAATTGCTTTTTATTTATCAAGATTCCTCTTTCCTTCTATTTTAAAAAGAATCATTAAAAGTTCAGAACCATTAAAAAATTGTTTTAATTGGCAAGACCTTTTGTTGAGGGAGTAATAACTTATGGAACTTAAAAACTGAAAATTAATTTGGATTAGAAATAAGTCACAAATTAATAATAAATAAATAAATCTTGAACTTCCTTTTTTGATGTCTTGTTCTTTTAATTTAGATTCAACTAAAAGCTCTACAGACATTGGAGTCTGTCTTCCAGTGTAGAGAGCGCAGTGTTGCTTTTCCTTTCATCAATGCCTTAGCTCCTCACATTGTGATGATTTTGAATGATATGTGTGTTAAGAAGCCAAGCAGTGAGGAACAGGTGACAGTCACTTTAGCTGCCATCGAGATCCTGGTGAACTTGGTGGAACGGACAGATGACCATTTAAGTAAGAAGCTGAGGCTTATATTTCAACTTTGCATGCATCCTTGAAAGAATTCCTTGCATCAAAATGCGTCAAGTCATTTTATGTGGCCAGTAGAATTCCTTTAACATACAGTGAAGTTCATGATTCTAGTAATAGCTGGGAAGCTTGCTTGTGAGCCAGCAGCAGTAGTCTTTACATTTCAAAGGGGGTAAATTGGTAAACCTATTGAATAAGGGTTGTTTACTGGATTCAGGGCACTTAAAAACATGTATTTGGTCTACTACATTCTGTTTTCATTTTGTGTTTGTTTCAGAGGTGCATATGCTAGGATTGCTTGTACCAATCCTTATATCATTGCTGTCAGACAGTGCCAACCTGCCAAAAGGAGGGAAAACAACCAGGAACCTCCACGATCAAGCTCTACAGAAACTCATGAAAATTGGACCCAAATACCCTGGGCCTTTCCGTAGCATCATGAATTCACAGCCTGAGTTAAAGTCACGTTTAGAAAGTGCAGTTAGAGCAAATCAGGCATCAGCCAAACCAAAGCAGCCAGCTGTCCAGGCTAAAGTGGCACCAGCACAGCCATCCATTAAGTTACGCATGGACTTCAGTAACTTCAAATAGCTGGCTTGTTGTTTAATACAATCATTAGTTGAGTGTGGCATGGAAAAAGTTTGGATTGTCACAAACTGTCAAATGTGAAAGCTGACCAAATGTCAAGGGAAAACAGTGTCACTGGAAAAGTAGCTAGTTGCCCATGACAGTAACACAGTTTTAACATCAAAATGTAGTTGTTAAACTTCCATTGCACCTCACTCAATTGAAATTATAGTGTGTGCTGTTGTACCATACTCACCGTATGACAATAGATCGATAGTTAAGGTATAACAAATTAATTACAATCATTGAGTTTTATTTTGTACAAAGAATTACCAGATAGGATATAAACATACATGACTACAATTTTAGTTCAAGCATAAGTAAAATGTAAATGAACCTTATACATTCAAGACAGCCTTTCCTATTAAATAACTGACATTTTGTGACAAAAGAATCCTGGCAACAAATGCATCCTCTTTATCTATATTCAAATGCAAAAACCTGAAGAACTTCTAGAGTTCCTTGACATCAAATAGCTAAATTTTAACTTAATCAACACACTGAACAAAGGAAAGGTAAAAATAAACCTCTACGACAAAAAGGGTGGAGTTACATGTTATTTCTCTTAGTGCTCATTCTTCACTGCCCTCTTCTTCTTCTCTCCTTTGTTCTCTGTATTTGTTTAACGTGTCCACGTGTTGTTTGATTGCTTCTTTCTCTTTGTGTTTGATGTACCTGCATACCTCCCTATAACGAGAAGAGGAGTGAAAACATTGTACAGGAAATACTTATCAGTCACAAGTAACAATGGCTAAATATAATTTTTCAACCCAAAACCAAATTGTTATCTAGTGGAAGAAGATTGATCAGATCAATATTGATATTCTTCCTCTATGTGTGTTACAAAATATGGGTTGAACAAGGGGACAGGTGACTTCACCCTCCTCCCCCAGGGCTGAACCCCCTCCCCCCATAATCTACACAAGTTTGTGATTTGGGATCATTATAAAAATTTTAAACTGCTGGACACTGTGAAAGTCTAACAATGTGCACATTACCAGCTTCCAAAAGAGATCAAGGCAAAGCCACCAACTGCATATCGACAGGACTTGAAAACGTGCACTGCAATTACATCAAACCAATATCAGTCAATGGAGCTTTTCACAATCATTCTTTGTGGGAGACTTGCCAAATTTGAATTAAAAAATACGCTGTGTCTCCATGTCCGGCAGCCGGACAGTGTTTTCAAAATACTCTGTGTCCGGCAGTCAATTTCTTTTTTCATTTTCAGTTAATAATAACAAATCCTTCTTTATATGGCTGAAAACTTCGCTGTTTCCACCATAGCGTGAGTTTTTGTGAGCTAGGCAACCGGTATGCTGGTATTCCTAACTTTGAAGCTCGCCACAAGCTACCAGACAGGAAATTGAAAATACTCCATTCCCGGCAGTGGAATATTTTCCTGAATATTAAGTCATTACACTCAATATAATTTATTCGAGCTATACCATCCCAGGTGGTGTTACTGTTGTTTACATGGCTAAAGAGTATGATTACCAGTTTAGAAACTGCCATGAATTGTAGTGTTTTCCACAAGCTTCCAGACACGAAATCGTAAATACTCCATGTCCGGAAGTGAAATATTTCCCGAACATTAAGTCGTTTCACTCCACATGTATTTGTATCAACACATGTTTATGTTAATGTATGTATCTATTTTCAGAGAAGTACGCAGCCTGGGAGGGTGGTTTGCGAGCGCCAGAGTCCGGAGGTATGCCCCCCCTGAAAATTTCGAAGAATCATGTTTTTGTCCGCATTCCTTGCATTCTGAGGTCTCGTTACATCATATGTTTAATTCTAATAGTTCCTCTTTTTTTAACACTCCCCCCTAACCCTAATTCTTTGTGGCCCACGGGGGAGGGAAGGGGGGTTCCAGCAGTCTTGTGTACATAAAATGGTGTAGCTTGAATCTATTGGGTGATTTCCAGTCCGTACTGTGCAGTCTCAGCACCCTAATGTTTATAAACATTTTAAGTCTCACTCGATGGAATGCGAATCAATGTTATTCAGTACGAATGACATACCTTGTCTTTGAGTCCTTTCAGATTCTTTTCCCAACACCTTCATTAATTTTTACAGCTGCGAAGTTGCAAGGGAGCAGGAGTAGCGCAATGGTGAGAGCACTCGCCTCCCACCAATGTGGCCCAAGTTCAATTGCTGGACCCGGCGTCATAAGTGGGTGGAGATTGTTGCTGGTTCTCGTCCTTGCTCTAAGGGTTTTACTCTGGGTTCTCCCTGTTAGGAATGTCACGATGCCTGTAAGCACGTGTTACATGCCTGTCCTGTTCTCGGGAATCATGGGATTGCAAGACATGTGCTCGCAAGTATGTACTTTTGGCTTGATGTGGATTAAAAATAATTGTTGGGCTTTATCGAATTTTTTATCCTTGTGGTGACCTAAACCATTCAACCTTTTCCCAACACTTTCTTCACAATAACCATTAGTTCTTAATTCTAATTTGATCTGAATGCACAGACACATTGTAACGAGCTAATGAGAGCCTCCCTTTATCATCAAGTGATAGGAGAAAGATATGTGCCATAATGGCGGTGGACATAAAACTTTGAATTTACCTCATGTAATTAGTGACGAAATGTTTTACATTTTTTGATGTCTTACTTGAAACAAAACAAACAAACAATTCTCAAGAGTACGCAGTATCGACTGGCCACAAAGGGTTGGGGTTAAGGGGGAGTGAGTGTTAAAAAAGAGGAACTATTAGAAAACATATGATGTAATGAGACCTCAGATTGCAAGGAATGCGTGCGGACTAAAACGTGATTCTTCGAAATTTTCAGGGGGGCATACCCCCGCACTCTGGCGCTCACAAACTACCCTCCCAGGCTGCGTACTTCCCTGAAAATAGATATATACATTAACATAAACATGTGTTGATACAAATACATGTGGAGTGAAACAGAAACATAAGCTCATCGCGTCGTGTGTGAAACTCGAGTAACTGTCAACTGTTATAGCTCAAATATACTAAGTAGAATTACTTAATATTTGGGAAATATTTCACTGCTGGACATGGAGTATTTACGATTTCGTGTCCGGAAGCTCGGGGGAAAACACTGCAATTCACGGCAGTTTCAAACTGGGGAGCAACTTCAGAATACCCGTCCACATCATTTACATATGTCGGGAGGCTTCGAAGAATGAGGTATAACACAATAGACACTATTCTCATTTAATGACATGTAAATGAGTGGCCGGGTATTCTAAAGTTTAGCCCAAACTGCTAATCGTACTCTTTAGCCATGTAAACAACAATAACACTGCCTAGGATGGTATAGCTCGAATATATTGAGTGTCATGACTCAATATTCGGGAAAATATTCCACTGCCGGACACGGAGTATTTTCAATTTCCTGTGCGGAAGCTCGTGGCGAGCTTCAAAGTTAGGAATACCGGCATACCGGTTGCCGAGCTCACAAAAACTCACACTACGGTGGAAATAGTGAAGTTTTCAGCCATATAAAGAAGGATTTGTTATYATTAACTGAAAATTAAAAAAGAAATTGACTGCCGGACACGGAGTATTTTCAATTTCCTGTCCGGAAGCTCGTGGCGAGCTTCAAAGTTAGGAATACCGGCATACCGGTTGCTGAGCTCACAAAAACTCACACTACGGTGGAAATAGTGAGGTTTTCGGCCATATAAAGAAGGATTTGTTATCATTAACTGAAAATTAAAAAAGAAATTGACTGCCGGATACGGAGTAGTTTGAAAACACTGTCCGGTTGCCGGACATAGAGACACAGCGTAAAAAAATATGAATCTATCAAGAAAATATTGGTCGACTTACTTGTCTTAATAAAGCAACCAAAACCAGTGAACAGGCCAGCACCAATTCCATACAAGAGTGACTCCCGGGCACAAGGCGTGCGTTCGATAAACTTTTTAAAATTCCAGTTATACTGAAAACGGCAACAACATAAGATCATTTACTAATAAAAAATGTAGGCAAGATTTCCCTATAACCCCATACCTCATTATGCATACAATCCTTGCATAACAGAAAACAGGGAAAACCACAGATTACCCTTGGGACTTCGACTTTGTTTTTGACTGGTATGGGGTTATACGGAAATCTTTCAAAAATATATGTTGTTAAAACTCAACGGATATCTCGTCAATTTGTGATGTATACAAACCTTTTTCGCAGTACCGGAGTCAAACACATCGTCCGCCATTTTGTTTGTTATGCAATGAATTGGTCAGCAGTTGACACCGTAAGTGGTAATCAGCAGTACATGGTTGACAGCCTCCAGGATGTTTTTCAAGATGCTCCCAGATGGCTGACAATACTTTACTTTGAAGAAATTTCCTTTATCGTGTCGGCAAGCTGTAACTCTAATTAAAAAATGTCCGACTACCCAGTGCTGTTAAACGTCTATGACATGGTGAGTAAAGTCAGGTTATTATCACACAGAGAGCAGGTTGAAAATATATCGTGAGAGGAAACAGATGTGAAAGTAAGTCATTAAGCTTCTTCCGACAGTGTTTAAGAAGAAGAATCTTTATAGTTCTTATTGTTTCTTCTTTGTAGTACTGGATAAAGCAATATACTTTCCCCGTTGGTCTTGGTGTGTTCCATTCAGGAGTAGTTGTACACGGGAAAGGTAATAACTCTTGGCTTAATTGACTTATGAAGCGAGAAAAACAAAAGTTTCTTAAAAATTTCGAACTCTAGCCACTTATTGTTTTTTCATCGTTACTGATATTATTTCCCTGAGTCCTTGACAATGAAAATGGAAAGGCGCCTATAGAATACATTAATATCAAAGACTGAAACGTTTTCTAAAGGATCGCAGCGCTTGTAATATTTACGACAGGTAGTTATAAGTTTCAAGAATTACGATTATATTGCTTATTTCTTTTATTATTTATTTAGTTGTTTGTTTATTTATTTTTAAATCTACATTTCACAATTTTTAATTTCACTTACGCAATAATGAGTCCTATCTCTACACATTTTTTTTTTCATAACGAATATCTCTGAACGTCATCCTCAAACTATATAGTATTGCTTCACATTCTTTGCATGCAATCGATTATTCAACCGAGGCACACTGGTTCTTAGACGTTTCCGTGGGGTATACGCGAAAAGAACACCACAAAATACTGTTATGTTAATTAGCAGTTATCAATGAAAAAACATATATAATAGCGTGAGCTACAATTGTTTCACTGAATCTTTCCGTTTTTCAAAAGAGAATTTGACTTTAAGTGGCTCCTCAAAGTTAAAGAACTTCAGTAAGAAAAGGTTATTTGACTCTTAAATTCCCACAGCTGATTAATATGTTAGTTCTCTCTGCAATTTCCACACATTATCCAGCAAAAAGGTAACAAGAATACTCAAACTTATCAATGTAGAAGTTGTCTTGATCTAACACCAAATTCTCATAACTAGTTTAACTGTGTAGCAGCTAGAGGAGAGAATTAACAATCAGATCTTAGGAGTTGTAGGGTTAAAAACAGCAGTGCTAATTCAAGTAGTAGCCAAAAGTCCATCAAATGGGCCTATATTGAATTTGGTATTTTTTAAAATCTTTTTTTTGTAGATAACAATGAAATGACCTATCCTGTATTTTTTTTTTCTTTCATTTTCTTCCTTTAGAGTATGCATTTGGAGGACATCCATACAACTGGTCAGGAATATTTCAAATGAATCCAAAATCGCCTGAAGTTTTAGGAGAGGAATTTAAATTCAGGTTAGTGTATCCTATGTGCACTGCATACCTCCTTCAGTTTCATTAGAAGACTGCTCTCTCAGCTATGCTCTGAAAACCCAGTAAAATAGTTTTAAGAGTGTTCTGTTTTCTGTATATAATAAGCATGAGTTAGACACAAATTTTGATTGGTTCTTACATTAGAGGACAGATGTATAGATGCCCTCACCATTAACAATGTTTTGCTCCTTTATCAGATAAAATAAATTGATTTAATGTTTTGCAAAAACATATTTTTATTATTTCTATATTGATGTACTTTTTTCATTCAAGGGAAACTATAGAAATTGGAACAACAAACCTTATACCCAGTGAAGTAGAGGTTCTCTTGAGAAGAATGGGAAATTCATATCAAGGACGTTCTTATCATCTCATAGACAAGTATGAATGCAGGGCTCAACACTAACTTTTCAACTTACCAGCCAAATGGCTGGTGACATCTTAGATGTTACAACAATTTCAGTTCATTTACTAGCCAAACTAGCTAGTGGAAACCAAAAACCACTAGCCAAAACTGAATTTTTATTAGTCTGTGGCTAGTGGGCTACAGTTAGTGTCAAGCCCTGTGAATGGGTTATTTTCTTCCAGTGGTTGAAAGAGTTTACTTGGAGATAAGAATTAAATGCAGTTTAGCTTGCTAATGTTCATGATTTTTNATTGCTAGACTTTGAAGAAGCAAAGTCCTTGCAACTTTAATAACCTGCACGAATGTGGACCTATTATTTTATACTATTCATGCGCTCGGACTGGGGCGAGTTGGGGGATTGGTATTGATATTGAAATTTGTCTACTAATTATGATTATGACCAATTTCTGTTTCAGGAATTGTAATCATTTTACTTCAGAATTTTGTCAGGTTAGAAAAGTTCCTTCATCAAAGTATGGCAAAAAAAAAACCAGTATTTCTGGTTCTACGCAGTATCCTTGGAACCAGACTGCTTTAATGATAATCATCAACTTGATCTGTGTCATATATAATTTATAGTTAATTATTAAGTAACAGACCAAATGCCAGAAATTTTGCAGTTCAACCTCACCTTATTCAATGAACAAGAGAGTTATCATTTGACAGCTGCCCTTTCTCTCTTTTTCTCTCTTGCATTTGGCATCTTTCTAGGTGGTACCGAAGGCTTTGTGGCCTTATGGGCCTCAGTAAGGGAATTTTTCGTAACATTTTTCAATAAAATAGTGGGCATCACTCTCAGAATTGTACTCATTTTTTAAATATATGGCTATTTCCTCAACTTAAATGTGGTGTCATTGATTTCAGGCTTTGTGTAACAAATCAATTCCTGGCTGGGTGAATAGATTAGCATCTGTTGGTTCATATTTGCCATTTCTCCTTAAATGTCTTCCAAAAGAGTGGATACGTCCTGAGCCTTATTCACCGGTTGGAAGCCCTGGCTATGAGTCACGCCCGTTTGATGGTAACAATTTAAGTTCTCATTTCATGCATTTTTTTCTTTCCATTATTCAAAAGCTCAAGCAGTGAGCTGCTAATGATCTGCAAAAAATGGTCAATCAAATGTAATAACATCAAATTTTACTGTGCTACAAGTAATATTTTATCTCTTGTGAAGTTGTATCAACAACTTTCTGAGGAAAATAGCAGATTGCTTGTCCAAACTTTCAGGAAGAACAGTCATTTCTCACAAAAAATAAAAACAAGCAAACCCAGTAATCAAATGATAAAGAAATGCTGATTTATCATGATTTGTTGGCAAGGTACTTATTTCATACTTCTGCATTATTCAAGGTGTTGAAAACTTAATATTAACTGACTGATTCTTTGATTTAGACAAGAAACCCACTCCTTAACCACTGAAACCAGTAAAAGCCATGATGTTGCATAGAATGGTTTGGAACCTTTGAATGTTTTATTACAAGCCATTGACTCTCAAGTTATTGATTGTTATCAACAATTTTTTCCCCTAGATTTATCAACATTGGATGAAGATAGTCAATGCAAGTCCAAACATAGCTGATGAGTAGAACAGGAAACATCCTAAAGCATTTTCTTACAAATACATCAGGAATTAAACTAGTTAGCTGTTATTATTCCTTATGATAGGGCCAAGAAAAGGCTACAAAGAAAAATAACTTTAGTCACAAAGCAAAGGGAACGATTAGTATACATGTTACACTTATGTCACTGTAACCATATTCAAACCTGAATTTCAAAACTGGTGACATGTTGCAAGAATAGGAATGGTGAAAAGGTGGCTCATATAATTGATAGGAAAGGATAAAATAATAATACCCACCATTTCAGAAGAATGCAATGTAAATAGGAATTTCAGTTTTCTACAAATTTATTGTTAGATGGTCACTTTTCTCTAGAAAGATATTTCTGCATGTTTTCCACCTTGTTTCCTATTTCATTCATTTGTAATGCATTTTTCTTCTTCCTTCTCATTATTTCCCTTTATCCAAAGAATGATTTTCAGTTATTTCTTTAATANGATGTTTTTTTCCTTTCAAGTGACTTGTGAGCGCTGACTCTCCCATGCTCGAAATGTCAACATCCTTCATACACACGATGCATCGTGCCTTGTGCTTGTCACCCTTGACTTCTCGAAGCCAATCTTTATACAGTGATTTCTGAAGCCACAAGTTGCTGAAAACACACTTGCCCATTGTTTTAAATCTCTCACTCGTGAAACAAAACGCAAACAATCAACACTAACCCAGACAAGGAAAGCACTCAAAGCACATGGCTTTTCTCAGAAAGAGGGAATAGTACAAAACATTTGATTGGCCCTTGACATTCGAGACATTCAACCAATCAGAGTGATTAATAGAACCAAGAACAGGACAAATGGATATGGGCGATTGATCGACATGCGGAGTGGCGTTACGATCGTTTGTTATTTGTATCTTACTATTATGTGTTGCTACGTTTGTGCCAGTTGCATATATTTTCAGATAAGGCACTCTAGAATCTAAGTTGGATTAAATTAGCTACAAATTTCAAGGACTTTCCAGCACTGACTACAATTATCAAGGACTTTCAAGGCCTTGAATTTTTATTTTGAGATTCAAGGACTTTCAAGGCCTTTCAAGGCCTTGAATTTTTATTTTGAGATTCAAGGACTTTCAAGGCCTTGAATTTTTATTTTGAGATTCAAGGACTTTCAAGGCACATGCGAACCCTGATTTTAAAATGAGGAAGTCACACAGGGGACAGAGACAGCTCCCAAATGTACAATTATTATTATTTTTGCTTTTTTTTTTTTTAATTTTCCATGCTACATGGTAGGTTATTTAAGGGTGATGAATTCTCAATCCATGATAAATAATCAAGACGAAGAAACAAATAAATGAGCACAAACATTATAGAGATATTCCAGTGGTGTCTACTTTGTTATTAAGTTTCTCTTTCACTGACTCTCAAGATTCAACAGCAAACAATACTGCCAACCTTTTGATCCAGAATCCTGTGTGCTGATCATTAGCTACCATGACCCCATGGGTAACTTCATGAGTTGAGTATACAGTTGTGTATATGTAATAGATTGATAGATTTAAAAGGTGAGGCATTTACATGTCTTCACTATCAAAGTACTGTTCTTCTTCATCTCTTCCTCGTATGGTCAGATCATCATAATCATCATTTCCATCAACTGAACTGTAGTCAAACTCTTCTTCTTCACCTCTCATGAATTTGTCTTGCATTGCACTAAGAAATTCCTCATGGAGCATAAGTTTTTCTTCCTTAGTAGGGCATCCCTTGATTGGACTCCCAGGTTCCACTGTAAGAATGAAAAGCATTCACAGAAGTGACTTATCATTGATGACCATCATATTGCTTGCCAGTTCACAAACACATTGAATTCTACCCTTCACTTGTCTTCACAGAAGATTGTTTCACACAAACAAAAAATCATTGCCCCACACAAGTGACCCATAAAAACATTAATTTATATCAATCAACCCCAAGCGAAGTAGGGCATGTACTAAAACCAGTAACACCGCAACACCCCGGAACACCGTAATATCTCGTAACACCCTGGAACACCGTAAAAGCCGAAACACGAATTTGACGGTGTTGTTTTGTTTTCCCATTACAGATCATGTAAAGAATAAAATTTAAGGGTGTTGTAGGGTCTTAGCACGTGAAATGTTTTCTTTATTTTCTCATTCTATCAATCATTAGGGTGTCTGTGTAGTCGCTGTTTCTCGTCGTTCGTTAGTATTTTTGCTGGTTAGCTTCTGTTGTTTCTATGTCACGTATTTTTTGTTCATGAGTTTATTTCGTAATGTAGGCGTTAACTGCACTATAAGTTAACCAGTTGTTTTCTCATATAACCTAGTTTTGATCAGTTCAGAGTTTTAGTCTTCTGTTAGTCATACAGTAGTTCGCTTTCAGCAGTTACTCCAGTTTATCTTTATTTCACCTTTGGGAAGTTTCTATTCATCCAGCAGTTTTGTAGAAATTGTAACAATGTAAGTATTCAAGTTTGTTCAATGGTTCAGTGTATTTCTTTCCTGTCACTTTTGCTAGTCCATTGTTGTAATTTCGTATTCATTTATTGTTTTTAAGTTTCAACCCACATACTGAATAAATTGTCTTTATCTTTGTGGTGTTTTAAGGTTACGATTACTGCGGTTACAGGTGTTACGGGGTGTTACAGTGTTCCGGGGTGTTACGGTGTTACGGTGTTCCAGGGTGTTACGGTGTTACTGGTTTTAGTACATGCTGCAAAGTAGGTAAACCAATGCATGAAGTGCAGAGACAAAGTGTATGCAAAAAATCTTGCAAAAAATGAGTGAAAGGTAATTTTGAACCATCAAGGATAGTTTCTAATAACGCAGAGTGTTATGATCTTCCTAAGGAGGAGACTTTCAGAAAGGAAATGGCAAGGCTTTGTTGCCTATTTCTGTTTCTCTCAGCTGATGACAATTATTCTCTGACAATGACTTCTGCTCAGGCTGTCACAAGGTCTAACCCTGACCCAGATGGCTGCACAACTTTAAATACAATTTTTTGTTGGCATTAAGAATTTCACATTATATCCAAACAATTTCCTAAATCTAACACTTCAATTCCCAAGAACTAAACCTCAATTCTCTATATTGTTTCCGGTAAATGGCTTGAACCCGGGGGTAACATGTGAAGGCGTAGTCTGATCGTCCGGGTGAGTGTAGTCCTGAGAAGGACTGTTGTCGGNTACCAACCACATGTATATTAAAAGTGGTCTAGATTTTCCCATCTAGACCGGCATCTAGACTGGTCTAGAAAAAAAGGTACAAAGAATATAAAAAATTGGCATATAAGACACAGCCATATAATAAACATCTTATTAACAGAGCTAGGTTGGTCTGTATATGGGAGAATCTTGACCTCGGTCGCTGGTACAGAGCTCACTGCGTTCGGTCTGTACTGGCGACCTTGGTCAAGATTCTCCCATACAGACCTCCCGCTTGCATAATAAGAACTAAATAATCACCTTTATCGATTGAGCAGTCGCTCTCCATATCTGATTCTTCTTCCTCTTCTTCTAGACAAGCTTCTTGATCTCTCTGATATTCAAGATACCAATCGTTCATTTCCTTCTCCTGTCTGTTCATGATCATTTGTGACAGGCACAGATCGCCTCCAATTTCAGCTCTGTCCCGGTCAAGTTTTTCCTCTGCTGTAAGATACTGACCTATGTATTGTTCGTAAAGAAGAGGGGACCTTTTTCTCATGTTCTCCTCGCTAAAGTAATCCGTGCCTTTCATTAATCTCTGTAAACATTCATACCGTCTGTTACGTATTCCCGTTTTCTTCTTCTTACCATCAAGGATATTTTTTACTTCTTTGAGACGAAAATCTATCTCGTAATCTCCCTTTAAATGTTCGAAATTTCCAAGGTCTTCTTCAGAAAGATATCTTCCAAATCGCATAAGAAAAGAAGTTGGTTTTTTATCATAAAGCTCGTGCAAAATAGCAATTTTCTCATCCACAGCTAATTCGGGTTCGCCCCTCTGCTGGCTTTTAACAACAGCATCAGTGCTTGCAATACGAGAAAGCATGTGTTTCACGTTTTGGAGATGTTCATCTGTGTTGTTTTCTTTCTGAGGACATGCCGCCATGTTGTTTTGATCCCAGGCCCCGGTTGTTCATGGAATCCCGCAGTGTTTGACGGGTTAGACAGGAAGTGGACCGAAACGAAACCGAAACGCGGGAAATTTTTCATTGATCAATAAATAATATCGTTTTCTGTCACATGATACACACGGGATCGTGGCGTAACCGGTATTAATACAAAGGGAAACTGGAATCTTATGGAATTTGGCCCGAAATTCTTGTCCTTCAAGGCCTTTCAACGGACCGAAAAGAATTCATGAAAGGTCGAGGAATACACAAAGGGCGTGTGTTCAGCTAAACGAACGGAATTTAAGTCCACTTTACGCTTGGTAAAGGTTTTCTAAGCGAATTCGGCTTACTACGTATAAAGAATCGATTGTACACACAATTTAAACATGTCACCGTATACTTTATTATATTCGTTGAAATAAAATGACTCTCTCTGGACAAAAATTTTTTAACGATATGTACAAAATTTACAATATAATTCATAGATTCAAATTGTTTGCATCGAATTTTATATTTTTACTATTAAACTATCGTAAGGAATCGAAAAAGAAATCTATTTTATCCACGGTGAGCACCACCTACGTATAACCATGTCTTTCTAACGAAAGAGTTCGTATTCTAAATATCTACGCTCTCCAACTAAATAACAATGTTCTAAAATTTACATAAAATCATCGATGTTTCCGACGGACACCAAAAATAATTTTTAACATTTAAATAACAAAAAAAAGAGAAAAAAAAAAACAATTGCTCTAGAAAGAGCGCGTCCATATTCAATAATTCCTTTGGTAACAACATGTTTACAACATTTACATTTCTTCGATCAATTCAAAAACGAACAACTTTGAAAATGTATACATGGACTATGTTAACTTCTTAACTAAACTAAACATACGATTTGAGAGTTCTGATAATATCAAAGTCCTTTGCCAGCGAAGGCGATCGACATCGCACGATCTATCGATTCGTCAAATGCTTCCGTCCTTTCACATTTGTAAAATCGAAACGTAAACAATGGAGCGCATCCACTGTTGATGTGGTTCGTCACGAACTTTATCGTCCCGCGAAGCGAAAAGCTTGGAGCCACATCCTGTCTTTCTCACTCAGTGTTGAGAACGTAGACGTACCAGAAAAGTTTGAAGCCCCTGAGATGGTCCGCGTTCGTTTCCTCCCTTTCGGTGGCCTTTGCCATGTGCATGGCTCCTCCACGGCCATGCTATCGATGGAGTCGATAGATTCTTGACTTGATGTTTGGTAATCTGTACAGGAACAACTCCTTCCATTTCGTTGACATCTCATCTTCTTTTTACGGATCACAATTGGAAAACAGCCTCCAATAAGGAAGAGAAAAACAACTAGAATTCTACCAAGAAGAGACATGTCCTTCAACGGGAATTAATGTGTAGGCGACTGAATTGCTAATGATCTGTCTGCGTTTTTGAATGGTAACTATACCGACCTTTGTACCAAAACAATTCGAATTTGACGCCTTGACGTCATAACAAAATTGCTTCTATGTAGGGTACAGTAAGTACTATTCTGATGAATAAAAAAATTGACGAGTCGCATTGATTGAAATACAAAAATAAAGTTACTTTATCTGTGAACACAGTAATACAAAGCTTTTTTAATGTATTGAATCTTTTATTTTTTTATTGTGGCAATTTTTCTCCCACGAAACAAAACTATCGCTACCACTCCCCTGTTATGGAAAACTTTTTGAACGCTAAATTTAACCTTTTCCTTCCTTCGCGGGAACTTTGTGACAGTCTTATGACAACTGGTAAACATGTTCGTGCTATTCACGGCCTGTCATGTGCGCGGACAATTCGCTTACACAGCGGAAAAAAACGTAACTGTTGGTTACGTGAAAATATCGAGCAAAGGGCTTGATCCTTGCGACTTTTTGGTGCAGTGGTTTGCGTATTAAATAAAGGTTTGCTTCAACTCCAGCTCGTCTTTTTTATTTCTTTTTTTTTTTTTCTTTTAATTCCATCGGGATTCTTTCCATTCCAAGACTACATCCCGTTTGTCTATAATCTATAGTTACAATGCCTGGTGAAGGAACAACCCAAAAATATTCATTATGGTTGTTTTGATGCCAGCGTTTTCCCAGGGTATTCCCGTGACTCGCAGGGCTCTGTCATAGTTAAAATTCGGGTGATGTAAAATTTAGTGAAATTACACGTGCATTATTTGGGATATGTTTACATACATGCCTTGGCGTGTAAGCCAAGCTTAGGTTTCACTTCCTCGTATTTTCCTGTTTTGAGTTCTATTCAGTTGATCGAAAAATATTATGTACGTTAGATTGTTGATTTCACTTGTGTTTATTTCGATTTCTTATTCCAACGATTGATTTCCTCAGGGCATTTTTTCTCCAAGACGCTAAAACTGTTCCCATCAGAATCAATCCTAAAATATGCTGTATGCTTGCCTTTAGTACATCAGTGACTGAAACGTATACTTGTAAAAGGGCACAAAGCCAGCATTATTTTAGAGAGGAAGTTCCACAAGATAGCGATTGCATAAAAAATTGAACTAGAGAAATGGGCTTAACCTGCTTTAGTCGACTTTATCTTTACTCTCTCCTGTTTGATTATGCGCGTTCCTTTCCCAGGTCTTCGATAATTACAATATTGTCACAAATATAGAGTACATTAGCTCGCGTGCGCACTGATACAAACTGGAACGGGGAGATGATTAAATTACGTCTGGGTTTTGAGACGTTCAAAACAAGGGGTTAAGAGAGGGCATGGAGTAACAATATCCTTCTAAGGGATGCGTTGCAGACCAGAAACGTGCAACCGAAACTGACACTACCATACGCACCGTGAGTCCGAAGGGTGCAAATTACTCACCTTTCAAACATTAGGGACCTTAAGCAGTCAGGACGGCAACACCAAAGAAGAAAACAAATGAATTTCTTCTCTTAGTTAGAATTTCAAAAATGGCTGTATGAGCTTACTGTCTCATACGGCGCCACAGCTCAACTTCAGCATGACGTATAAAAGTAGCGTTGAGTTCCAAATGGAAATTAAAAAATTTGCCGTCGCGGTTTCGGTCAGCAGACGACGCAAATTTTGGCGATTTCACGTTGTTGTTTTGCATAGGACGGCTAAGAAATGTACAAAGTTTCAAAATGCACGTGCTGAGCTATTGTTCTGCCCATTAGATCTCTTGTTTTTCCACGTCCTCGTTGCCGTCGCCGTCGTGGTTGCTTAAGGTCCCTATTGTCACGCGTCACCAGAGAGCAACTGCCGCGCGACAGCATATACTTTAAAGATCTTTTAAACAAATGATTTGGAAACCTTTTCTTGACGCTGATTTCTGTGTGGAGATAAGCCCAAAAAAGCAAACAAACAAACAAACAAACAAACAAACAAAGAAAGCAAGAGTTAATAGAATCTCACACCATCCACGACCAAATTCCAACCCTCGAAATAAAAGAAAAGAAAATGGAAAAATAACATAAAATGGACATCAATAGAAATTGAAGATTTGCGTTACCACCGCACTCCAGTCATGCTCATTAAGGTGGCCGAACACAGTTTTCGTGCGCGCTTTTGCTGATGCCATTCAGTGCACGCACAAGAATTGCAAAAAACAGACATGCCGTCAACAGAGCGATCATTTCATTTACTCAACACGTACCCACACTATCAGTGCTATTTTTCTCTATAGTGTGCGCTGTGTATTGAGGGCTTTAATGTATCTTTTATTACAAAGATATGTTAGAAAAGTTAAGTGCAAGGAACCCAGCAATTGTTGGCACACATATTTGTATCATTGGTTTCCATATTCTTTTCCAACAAAAAATGTCGGCTGTGAATCTGTTTGTATCAACTTTTATTCTTTGCATTTATAGAGATAATTTACGATATAAATATGGGGCAAATGCGCGAAAAATGTATATGGTTATTGTGCCCATTGTCAACTTGGTCAGCGGAAGATCGATCAAAAATAACATGGCGGCCCGTGACAGGATTGATAAGATTCTGCCGCCTCAAAATTCCAAATTAAGATCAAAGAAGCATTGCATATTAAGTGGGAAAAACCCATTCTTAATCAGCAATTGAAGCATCTAGATTTGTCTCTTTCCTTTTAATTATGTTGTTTCTTTTGTCTTTTATTTATTTATTTATTATTATTATTTTTTTTTTTTGGTCCAGTTATGCGCGAGCTATTTTCATTTTTCGCGTATTTAATATTCAAAGTGTAACGTAAGCCCTGACACGTAATTTATAACGTACCTTAATATTTTTTTTTTTGAAGGAGTGTTTTTTTTAATGCACACACATACATATACAATTTACATTACATTGGCTAATACAAAAAACGCGATACAACTAAGAAGAAAAAAAAAACAATACAGAATAGAGGAATAAAAGAAAGGAAAAAACAAGTAAAAAGAATAAAAAATTACAGAATATCAATCAAAAGGCACCTACGAGTTACTTACAATCTACATTATTACAGTAGAGCTTACGTATAGCTATAGATATATCGCTTCGAGTCTTTACCTCCTTTCCAAAGTATTGATTTTTCGAAGGGAAGAAGCAAAATTAGTGAAGAGCACATTTCTCTATTTGCCATTGCATCAACATTTTATCTTACCTTAATATAAATTCGTACAACCGTTAAAAGCTCATATGCAACTGAAGATGACACGAGAATGTCGAAACATGTCTGGTAAATTTAAATTTAAAGTTGTCGTTTCTTTATTGAGAGTTATTGTCACTCTGCTGTCTTTACGTCCGTTTGGTCACATTATCCACAACATAGAAGTTTAGTACTAAGCACGCGCTGTGAATAGTCATTCATACGTCATCAAAGGCACACTCACCCGGCAAAAGTACATCCGATCTACCCTAAAGTTGAAACTAACAATAGCCCACCTACCAGAAATTATTAGAATGTAAACTTTTCAAAAGGAGGCAGGACTTTCGAGTGTTTAAAGGGTTCAACAGCTCCTAGATGGCTACAGACGACTGTCAAATATCGGCGGATCCAAATGCCGAATCAAGCAGACTGGAAAATAAGGAGCTTAACATTCTACCTGCACTAAGAGACACAGAGGGTAGTAGTAATAATCTTAGGAGAGGGAATCTGCCATTTGGGATCTTTAGCCATAATCTGGTTGATACTGGGGACACTGCACCTCGCAGCTCCAATGCCGATGGCACCAGGTCCCAGGACAAGCCCATTAGCTTGAACCTCCGGATGGAAACTAAAACAGCTTTTGAAGATTTACCTGTCTTTCCACGGAAGATTGGTCAAATTGGAGAAAATAGGTGAGCAAAGTAATGTAAATGGCGGCCGATGTCATCTGCAATCGAAACGTTTTAAGAAAAAAATGGTTCAGAACTCAACAGGAAACTGCTGATGATATTTTACAAACATAGCTGTCACCGGATGTAATTCATTAAGTTAAATTTCCCTCCTAAACTAACAGATAAACTAACTTGATTGATTTGATTTGATTTGACTCTCTACCACTATCCTCCCGGTACACATTCATAATGTTAGGCTCCAACAAGAAGGAAATAATTCCTGTATTTTATTTTGGTTTGATCTACACTAAATCTTGCACACTGATATAAGTTCAATATTCCCTCCTTCCTCTTTGATTCTTTTTCTCAGAGAGGCCAACTCTTCTCGACGCACAAATGATACAAATCTCAGTATTACGGAGCACGCATCTGAAGAAGTACAAAATGCAGTTGATTCGTCGTCGACCAGGGACAAAAAAGTATGGTAAATTTTCAATGCCTGTAGAAAGAAGACATATGGTAATTACTGGAAGAGGTTCAGTAGCATAAAATGATCTGTCAGTGACGAGCGGATCAATGAATTGTGAAGCTGAATGCTGATGAAAATTATTGATCTGCGAATCATTAACTGTCTCAGTCGAGAGAGTGATGGCAGAAATCCGTCAATCTCTTGTTAAAAACACATACTAACTTGTTTGTCTTCAGATGTACCGACAGACTTGAGTTCTCTTACTTCTTCCAGTTTAGTTCTCATAGCTGTTCACGCAAAAACCTTTCAGATACGTTTTACGGAACCACTCTTCCAGGCAAGGACACTTGCCAGCAAAACACTTTATGCTGCGTCCGGCGAAGAGCCTGAAAATTCATTATGCTCCAATTTAACCAGGTTTGTAAATTGACAAATTAAAAATTAAAAGGTCTTCTCTTGCATGTTTCTTTTTTTACGTGTATCTTTGTGCTAGTAACTTTAAAATCTTTCGATGCTTTCCACTGTTAGTATTGGTAATAACATGATTGGGTGTGTAATTTATTGTTTATGTAAGCATGAGTAATTTTTTCAAAGACAAAATTGCACGAGCTCGTAGGTTGAGCGCAACTTGTCGTCAAATTCGCGCCAAAATGCGCAAGAAACCATGTTGTTACTTAATAATTTACATGAAAAAAGCATTACAGAAAGTCAAGACAGACGAAATTTTTATAGCGTGCGCTGTTAATATTTGTAATTTGCACCCGTGTTACAACTTTGCACTGGTGTTACATGCAAAATTCACTCGTTTTCAGCCATTTAGAAGTGCATAATTTTTTTATGTACGTTATAAACGGTCAAAGAAGAGAAAAAAGAGACTGGTTCTAAAATTTTCTTGCTAAGCTAGTAAAGATTTGACTGTGATTGTGTCTTCATCATACCTACCTTTTGGAAAATGTAATTTCCAAGACAATCAGTTTCAACTCCTACTGCAGGCTACAAGCGGAAAGCGCGACGAACTCGAAACACGTCGAGTCCTTGGGTCGGCTAATATCAGAACCAAGTACAACGAAAGGAACAAGCAAAAGAGAAGATGAAAGAAAAGAGGGGAACCAGCGCGAGAGCAATGACGATCTGAGCACAAAATTACAGCAAACTGCTGATGGAAAAACTGAGGAAGCTACTGACAACGCAAATGAGGTGGAAGAAGATGACACCACTGTTGAAGGCAGAGTAAGAACAGCTGGGCTTTCTTCGTTTCAGACAACCTCGCTCCCAGGGCTTTTCACTTTTTGAATATTTTGGCGGGAACCAAAATATTCAAAAAGGGAAAAGCCCTGGGAACGAGGTTGCGTTTCAGAGATTATTACCTCTATTACTATACAGACCCACGGCCGCTACTACTTAAGTAGGGTCCATTACTACTAGGATCGCTTTCATACATTTTACGAAACCGCAGTACATATATATGATTTTCATATATTAAAATTCACTGATTTATGATTTCGACGGGTTTAATACGAACCAACAGTTGTTGTTAGAGCACTGCACCGGTATCGCAGAGGTCGTTGGTTCAAATCCCGTACGAGCCTAGATTTTTTTCAGGCCTTATTTCCACAACTGCATAAGTAGGATTGATTATTATCCAACTACAGTCCGTAGAGTACAAATAACGCCGTAGACGAGTACAAATATCACGCGGTGTTTGTACCGTAGAGTACCGGTTAAACAGGTTTTCTCGCATCGCGCAAGCGAAGAATTGGATTGTGGTTACGAAAAAAAAAATTGGCGGACAATTTGAATCATATTTCCGACGACGAAGAGTCAGAATGGCTGGCAAATATAGATCCAAGTTTATTAGATGAATCGAACGAAGAAAAACAGCTAGACGACCAGGAAATTTCTTCATTTACTGAACAAACTAGAAACAGCAACACGACAATACGCCAATTCTGTTCCGCTTCGCATACTTCTGTCACGCACTCCCCAGAATAAATATCCGCGAAATTCGCTCGCACTGAAATAACATTTGTATTATTTGTATTTTGACTCGCCCCTACGGGCTCGTCAAAAATACGGCACAACTCGTAAAAATACTCACAACAAAACGTCTAATTAACAATTATTCCACGAGCGCGCGTTGGATATGAGATGATAGATAGCCAACGAGGCGCGTAGCGCCGAGTTGGTTATAATCATCTCATCCAACAAGCGCGAGTGGAATAATTGTTTTATTAAAAACGCCCCCAAGAAATTATTATTTTGTAAGAAGAAACTGGATTTTTTAGCTCCCTTTTGATTTTAAGCTGGCGCGGACGCTTACCATATTTGTAGATTATGGTATATTGGCTGATATACCATAATGGCTAAGCCAATAAAAAGTCTTGAATTGCATTATCCAATGATCCAGTTTTTAATAATAAGATACATTTATTATATGGCTGTGTCTCACAAGGACTGGGAACTACCGAATTCACGAATTTGATTGGCTG